TAGCAAGAGATGGGATACCAGTTAGGATCCTCGGAGCTTTCGTCAGAAATAAAATCAATCAGTTAGAAGTATGGACACCGACGATAGAGAAAATAGAAAAATCCCTGAAACAGTGGGGAAAAGGCAACCCAACGATGGAAGGGAGGAGGCTAATCATCAACATGGTAATTGGAGGAAGAACACAGTACCTTACCAGAGTACAAGATATGGAAAAGCACATCGAAGAAGTGCTTGAAAAAAAAATACGGAAGTTCATGTGGGACAAGAAGGCCCCAACAGTTAACATGGAGACCCTACACTTTCCAGTGTGTGAAGGAGGAAAAAAGGTCCTCAATCTGAAAGCGAGGAATGAAGTCATAGAACTCACAAAACTCAAGGACATCATAGCCCCGCCTGAAGAGAGACCACGTTGGGTGACTTTGGCACACAAAGCCTTCACAGAAAACACCCCCATGAACACAGAAAACATAGACCCAGCAGCGAAAATAAACTGCCTACTACAGGACTGGAAACCAAAAACAGGAGGCCAAACGAAATTACCTAAAAATCTGATAAGAATTCTGAGGGTAGCCAAAAAGTATAATGTCAAGGCAGACCCACCTACAGTAAGCATCACTGCAAAAAGAGAAATGCCAATATGGTACCATAAAGGCATGAAACCTGGAACATCCCACCTGAACAACACAGACTGGGCTAAATGCCAATGGAACAAACATGGAATACTCACCACAGGACAAATGGAAAACCACGCAAAGAGAAACCAAAACAGAAGGCACCACCCCTGACAAAATTGTGCATGTGAAACATGTCGAGAAGACCAAGGAAAAGGGTGTATGAACCCACACAAATGCAGAACTCATGCACAAACAATACTGGACACCCTACACCCAAAATGGGACCCTAGATGAGGAGAAAATGAAAGATTAGAGAACCAAGACCAGGACATCATTGCAAGAGATTACCCCACCAAAGAAAAGATAGCAAATGAATTCTGAGTGTTCACTCCAGAAACAAATGGAAACCACAAAGAAGGGGCCAACAATCAACCACAGATCACTCAACACAATGAAAGGAAAATTGAAGTCTATATCAGAGGAATAGCGGAAGACCCTAGGCTCATCAAAAGTAAAGTGATCGCAGGAATTTGGTATGGTGAAGACCATCAAATGAATAAAAGCTTGATACCCAAGAGCAAAAGGAAGATGATAGACACTTGCAAAGCTGAAGCAATTCTAGAAGTACTCATGGAGAGCAACCCAGAAACTGCATTAGACATCACAATCACATCAAAATCGATGAAAGGTCTCCTGACAAAGGCAAGAAAAAAGGCTGAAGACAGGGACTGGCTAGGTGTGGAAAACTGGAGCCTCCTCATTGAAATACTAGACAAAATAAGTGTAATGACCTGAACAGAGGGGGGGACTTGGCCTCAGCATGCTCTTGTGCTGTGCCCCTACACATCATCTGGTTGTCCCCAATTTACAGGAACTGCCTTGGTCTTGACAGAGGAGAGACAAGAAGAAGTCATCCTGGCCAAGGCCCAGGAGACAGAGGATGAACAACAGAGCAGAGGGGTTGTCAAGGTTGAGATTCAAGCTGGGGAATCCAGTCCACTACCTAGCTACTTATACTATTGAGAACAATGGAGAAGATCTAGGTTATGTAATGAATGCCAGCAGAACAATGACAGAGAACAATGAAGACAATAATGAATGAAACAATGAAAGTAAAGCCCATTGAAGAACCAGAACAATGAACAATAGAACAATAGAACAATGGGTTCAGGAATGGGATGTGACAATAAGCAAGAGAAGAGGACAAGTTAAAATATGCATGGTGAACTCACCAACAGATAAAGAAAACCTCACAGAAGCAACAATAATTGCAAGGGAAGCTATGAGGGACATAAGAGACCCAGAAGACAACAAAAATAACGCAGATATCCAAAGCAAGTTGAAAGGGGCCCACCTCCAAAACATGACTCAAAAACTCCTATACCAAGGTATCATGAGACACAAACAGAAGCCTGAGCAACGCAGAGCGACAACAACAAACCTGGATATCACAAGATATGCCTTAGAACGACTACTGGGTGGAAAGCCAAATGATGAAATGATTTGGAGAGCGATTACAAACAAAGACTCTGCACCCAAAATAAGGGTCTTCCTGTGGAAACTACTTCATGGTGCGTACAAATGCGGCACATACTGGGAACACATACCAGGTTACAAATGAAGAAGCCTATGCCCAGCATGCGATAACATGATCGAATCAATAGAACATATCCTCTGCGAATGCAAAGCGTCAGGACAAGCAGAGATCTGGAAAACAATGAAAGAACTTTGGGAACTCACTGACCTGGAGTGGAAACAACCAATGATAGGGTTGATAATGGGTGCAGGTCTGGCCTCCTTCCACCCAGATGGAAAATGAAGGAAGCTAACAGGAATGAACAGGCTCTATGCCATCCTAATCACTGAATCAGCACATATGATATGGCAGATCAGATGCAAGTGGAAAATCAGCAACAAGGGAGACCTCAACAAGATCGTACCAAACAGAACCGTGTGCAAGATATGGATCGCTAACATAAACCGCAGAGTAAGACTTGAATGTCTGATGACAAACTGTAGAAGACACGGACGGAAAGCCATGAAGGCGCATAAGGTGGAAAGAACATGGTGGAAAGTCCTGGAAAACAGGGAATTCATGCCAATGAACTGGGTAAAGCAAGCCAGGGTTTTAGTGGGTATTGGGGACAACAGATTACATGATAATGGTTGATAAGCAACCAAGCCCCCAGAGTCCCACACTATCTCAATGAGATGTATGTAAAGGTATTTCCCCGGGGTGAAAAAATGAGATAAATTGCTTGTTAAAAGAGCTGATATTTGAGACTAACTTGTGGTAGTTGTCGAAATATCAAAAAGCTCCACAAAAAAATAAAAATAAAAATAAAATTACAATAATCCCACCATTAGGAAGCTGTGAACCCAAGCAAGAATGGGTTCGAGTCTAAACAAGTGAGGGTTTCGCTGGAACACCGCAAATTTTACTGATGCAGGGATGTGTGAATCATTCGTTCCTCAGTTCTCCCCGGTCATACTATACCTATTCAGGAAGTGCAACTTTTCTGTAAATTGAGCGTTGAAGAGGAAGTAGTACACCTCATCTTCCATAATTTGGTGTACGTGTTCAAGGATGCATTATACATGCTCTGTGATTTTATCACATTTTTGAGAGACAAGCCGCTTCCCTCAGACCTGGTGTGACCCATTGAGCTCACCGTGCATAGGAAAGTTGTGGTTGCAGTTAAGAGTGCATTCGAACTCCAATGGCCTGTGGAAATGAGACTTTTGACTGCGTACCACATCCGAACAATTGGGCAGTTTTAGTATGTTCTTTGTGGTATTGGTTCAACTACGTGCTTCCAAGCTCAGTTTTCAACAAGACTGAGACACATCTAGCACATGGCGAATGCTCTTGGAATGTGAGTGAGTACCCACTTGGTTGGAAGCCATTTCCTGACGATGAGCAGGTACTGCACTGTCAAATGACTAGGCATTCCAGATTCCAATATTAAGTATCCTGATGTTGGTGGACGACACTTTGTGCAATTCATGGAACAAGTTCCCCAGAAGCATATACACCAACCCAGGTCGCCACTGCCTTGATCTGTATGGAGAGAACATTGAGGTTGATTATTGAGGGTACAAGGTCACAGTGGAGAACTTCATTTGAGTCCTGACAGGTGCATGCCACTATTTGTCTGTCACCGAGCTTGCAATAACTCTAGGTGCATATTCAGTAAAACATTGCACTACAACCAGACAATTACCAGAAATCCCAAATTGTCACAAGGGCTTGCATTACAACCTCACCCAAGGCAGTCCACTAGAAACACAAGGTAGCGAACAAGGTGAGCCTCCTCTTTTATGGCTTATCTTTTTGTAAAATGTCCCTGGTTCGCCCAGATAAATGCAGATAGAGCACAGTAGTTGAGGAGGACTGTAGCCTGTGGGCACAAGGGGGTGGCAGGATTGCAGGATCAGACCAGAGGATGGTTAGTTAGTCCAGCCTGGAGGGCCAAAAAAAAAATTTTGGAACCCCCTGTGCTGGTCCAAAATTGGCCTTGACAGATTACTTTTGACTCATTTTGGCACTCTCAAGTGGTCATTTGGCAGTCATTATGGGCTTCCTGCAATGTGACAGGGAGAAGACCTCCATATCTTATCTATAGATTAGATAATAATAGACCATCCCAGACAAGAGTGAAAATTGGGACACATAAGTACTTAGCACCAACACAGTAAGTACATCGGTCTGGGCAATCAGTTTTGGAGATCCACAGATGTGGATAATAATTTCTGATTCATCCCTATTTGCCATGATTCCTAAGACTCTGTTGTGACTAGTGATGATTGTCCTGGTGTACTGTTCAATGCCAGCCACTGACCATATTAGGCATTTTATTCTTTCTAGGTGCTTCAGACAAGCACCACAAGTACTTACATTTTATCTAAGTACATCAACACAGGGCACAGAAGCTTAATGGCCAATTACTGAAGGTTGCTTCATGGGTGAGAAGATAGTTTTCTGGCTATGCACCGCATCTCGGAAATTTCAGCCGGGATCACCGAAAATTGCTATATTTGGGTCATGAGAATGATTACGTAGTTAGTTAGTCCACCAAAATCCGCTGAGAAAAAAAAATCAACCCTAGGTCTAGTCCTGCAATCCTGCCACCCCCTTGCATGGGCAGCTGGCGGTCGACAAATGGCATGGGCGCTGATAAGG